TATTTTTAGCCAAGGACTATTTTTATGTTTACTGTGTTGTTAAAATAAGGAAGGGGTTACACTGACAGGTGATCATTCTTTTACATTTTAAAAGCGACAACACTTTCAAAATGATTTTTTTTATTTATTTCTCTAACTCTGTTCTACCTCTGTGTCCACCGTGACCATATTTGTGTGCATTAGTGTAATACCATACTTGTTCTACACATAATTACAACTACTGTGAAACTGCTGGCACGATAGGGTTTCCTGTTATGGCAGCTAACTTTCTTGAYAACTTTTCTGACGTTTCAAGCTTTAGAGTAGATAATCTGGTAGTTAAGAGTACCGATAATAAATGCCAAACAGAATAGAAGAGACAGTAAACAAACAAACAAACAAACAAACAAACAAACAAAAATCATCAGCTAAACTCACATGGCAAGTTGTTAAAGCAGCTTCGTTACAACCACATCACTAGCTTGACACATACTGCTGAGGGCTGTCTTCGGCTCATATTCTGCCAAAAAGAGAGCGAAACTAGCCACCAGCTACTCGGTTAGCATGCTAACTATGCTCCGGTAAAAACTGGCGAACTTCGTCCAGCGTTGAAGGGAACGAGTCAGTCGCTAACTCAGCACAAAAAACAATGACACATGAAAGTAAAAATGTGCACGTCAAATTCAGCATTTTTGATCAAACACACACGTGGCTGCCCCCTCACGAACCATGACGGCACGTAATAAACCCAGTAGCGCTTTTATTGCAAGCTTAATGTCTCCGTCGTCTAATTGAGTTATCTTGCAGGAAAAAAAAACACAACTGCCACAAGTAGCGAGCTTTAGCCGAGATGCTAACGCTGGCTAACAGGCTAACGCCGAAGCGAGAGCCTCTCTGTCAGACAGTGCAACCGAGATTGAAGCCCTCTCACGCTGAATCGTTGGATTTCATATTTAAAAAAAAAAGACACGATTTTCCTCCCTGCGTGGATTACAGACACGCGTGGCTACTCACAATGTGGCACTTTTCGCTGAGTCCTCGCTGTTAAAATCCGTTTAATCGGAGCAACTCTGACCTTCGCGGTAGTGGAACAACATTTCTGCTGGCTAACTGCGCCGCCATGTTCCTCCTACTACTCTGCAAACCCCAACGCTGAGTGTTTATCTGACTGGTAGCTGCTATCCTCCCCCACACCAAACCAAATCACGGGGCTCCAGCAGCAACTCGCCGCCGAAGGGGGGGCGGGGGGCGGCTTCTATGCGACCCAGTCCGTTTTACCTGAACGCAGTCGCTGTTCGATTAATCAACATCAGTTTGTCGACATTTGTTCCGCCAGCGGCCGACTGTCGCCTGGAGTCATCACTGTTTTAATGCGTGCTGTGGTTGGAAAGATGCAGAACAACATTTCATGCATTCTCAAGAAAAAAAAAAAGTGCACCGTGCAGCCTATTTCTCCTTAGATGGAGGGAATAAAAACGACAATATAATGCATGTAACACTAAGCTCTTTAAACATTTGTGTGATGCTTTAAAATGATCACAACAAGCACGCTTGAAAAACAAAACTAACTTATTTTTAAAACATTAAATCCAACTATTAGTTTGCAAATCACTGATAATTAAAAGCTTGACCAATTCACAAAACTACAAACGGTGTTCAAATGTGCTTTGAGACATTGCTATTTTTATTCCCCTTTTATCCTTACAAATAAGCATGTCATACATAAAGTATTTAGATAAACAGTATTATAATCAAAATGTAAGGAAGTAAGCATTTTTTTTTCTTTTCCAGTTGAAACTTGTGCAACACCACCTCCAAGTGGTGAGCTGCTTCTTGTAATTTAAGGTCGTGTCCTCAATTTTTGAGGTTGAATAAAGATTTGTATGGGAGAGCTGTGAGTGGTGTAGCAGGGGCGCCTCCAGGAACTTTTCAAAAAGGGGCCCCAGGGGGTGGCCACTGATAGTGATTGGGTGGCCCACCAAAAAAAAGATGAATATGAACTGTTATGACTTCTGATTTTTGTGGGCCACCCAATCACTATCAGTGGCCCAATCACTGATAGTGATTGGGCCAATAAAAAAAAAAGATGAATATGAACTGTAATGACTTTTGATTTTGTCAAAAGTCATTACAGTTCATATTCATCTTTTTTTTATAGTCATACATAGGTTTTTGGAAAATATTGACATAGGCTCATTTTAGTTTCTGATTTTACAATTCATATTACAAACTGATATTTTTTCAGCTTACTAAAGCTGGTCTTCTCATCTCTTTAAATCCCTATTCATAAATTAAAGGCCGATCAGTTCTAGCCTTTTCCACTTTGGTCAAACCTCAGAAAGGCGTTAATTTCACACTCAAAGTATGCATCGTTAATGACTCATTTCAGCTCATCTGACCAAGTTATAGTCATTTTTTTGTCAGCTAATATTAAATTGAATTGACTCTAAAAGCTTACCAGCTGACAACTTTCTGCAAGTTTCATTAGACGTCATCCGATTTGTGAACTATATTTTGCTGACACACAGGGTTGGCTACAACAGTTAATGCCACACGTTGAACTTGTGGAATGCATTGTGAACAACTCAGCTACAACCACTCCATATTTTTGGACAATATCTGCAAAACTGATTGAGTTATAGTAATTTTTTTGTGTGTTTTCCGAAGTCAGTTGGCTATGGCAGCCATGTTAATCCTTTAGGGGGTTGTAAATTATGACAAATGGATCATATGTAACATGTTTCTGAATTTTTTGTAATTAACACACACATATACACATATAACTTTGGGCATACATAGTAAATTTATAAATTTCATTTTAATATTTTCATAAACTTACATGCTCGTTGTTCTTTTAATGTGATTTTAGATAAACAAAAATATATTTAAACAACTGCATAAGCTAAATTGATTAAGCAAATGATCAGTTTTAATCTCGTTGTGACACGTCACATGGAATTTCTCTGTAGAATTTAGAGTTTATTGCCCCATGTGACATACATGTTGCAGCAATATTTGACAAACCTATTTTAAATCAAATTGTTTTAAAAATGCTGTCAAAATAGGCTATAGGTGAAATATGACATCTAAGGATTAGAACAGCTGCATGTGTGAAAACTTACCTTTGCTAAGAGAAAACAAAGTTTCTAAAAAATGTGCCTAATGGTCACAGTAGCTGCCTATTGGTGCACCAAGACTTTGGAAATAAAAACTTCAGTACCCAGCGTTAGTCACATGACTGAACCAGGAGTTCTCTCTAAAATGGTTCAAATTTGAGTATGTTGCACAGTTTTAGCCCTCAGTTATCACTCAGTATTTTGAGAGTTAGGAATCACTCTCAGCTACCATAATTAGGTCATTTGCTCCACAAATTCTTAGTCTTTCTCAGTGTGGACTGTAGAAAATGTGTTTGAGTTTAWACAATAGCAAGCAAACTAATCACATGATCTTTATCTCAGATATACATAACYCAAAATAAACATTTTAGCTTTTAGGTATATTGTTTTTTTTTCTATATCCACTTAAAACATTTTTATTATTAGGTTGGTTTTAATTTTTATAGTCTTTTATAAGGGCTACTGTCCTGACTTATTGTGTTGCACAGAACTTTGGTCCTGTGGTTGGTTAAAAGTACTCCATAAATTTACAGGAATAAAGAAGTCATTTTTCTGTTTACGTGTATTGAGCTTTCAGCTACAGATATCCTACATTTTTCAGAATATAGTTGTAATATAACATAAATAAAGTAAAATAGATATTTTAGTTTATAATAAGAACTATTATTTCTCATATCCATAACTGTTCTCTGTAGACAAGAACATTGGGAATATCTGGTGCCTGATACCCATGACATCAGTCATATAGGAAGAATGATGTTTGAGATATCTAAGGGGGGAAAATGGGTTAGATATCATTTTTTTTTGTTTGTTTTGGACAAACAGGAATTCTAAAAGGCCATTTAAAATGTTTTAAGGATTTTTTGGACATCTTTCAGTCCCCCGCAGTAAATCTTAATTGTATCTTTTACAGAGGTTTATAGTAACTAAGTACATTTACTTTGTTACAGTACTTAAGTAGTTTTTTTTTTTTTGAGGATTTGTAATTTTCCAAATATTTTTAATAGCTACTTTTACTTTTATTTAGTTACATTGTAAAGCTAAAAAATATACTTTTACTTCTTTTGTTTAAAATTTAACACCTATAGTTACTCATTACAAACTTAAACATGTCCGAACACATCATGAAAAATGTTTATGTGCTCTAAAAAAAATGAAGTGTTGAATTTACTTAAAGTCATGTCAACCGGCTCCACTAAGCCAAGCTGAGTAAACTGAGCAAAGAATATACATATATTGCTCAATTTACTCAACCTGGCTTAGTGGAACCAGTTTGATCCAGTAAATTCAACAGTTTATTTCTTAATGTGTGTAAAAAAAATACTTTTCCTATTTTTGTGAAGTTTTATGACTTTTACTTGAGTAGTTTTCTCATCAGTGAAATTTATTTTTTTACCAGTCATTTTCTGTTCATGTAATTTTACTTTGACTTAATTCTTTTTTTTTTTGAAGTACTTTAAAGACCTCTGATCTTAGCAATGATTTTATGCAGCTTTTATTTTAATTCTGAAAAATTTCTAAAAAATTTAATGCAGTCGGAGTTCTGAGTGTAGTCTGAATATAAATTACAACTAACTACCATAAACGTAACCTATTGCACTTTGTAGAAACTGTCAGCTTCAGAACCTTTACTCCAGCCTGGATTGTTACAAGGTGGAAACTGCACCAGTGTACTTTTACTTTTACCATCAAAAACATTTCCAGAAAAGAGAACCTTCAGTGCATTAAATATTTCTTGTAATTCCCAATTTTCCAATAAAGACTTGATTTCCACAAACAGGTTTGTCATCTGTGCTGTCAAAACATTTTTTCTGAATACTTGCTTTTTTTAAGATTGTTTTATTTCTTTACAAGATAAACCCCCCAGGACAAATTGAAAAAAAAAATACTGTTAGCTCACGTGTCTAAAATGACTAAATGGGTTCATTTTATTTTTATTTTTACAATGTTTGTGTTACCTGGGTAACTGAACCTTTTAAATACAGTCGATCGGCCTCTGTAGCTTTATGGCGTGTAAGTAAAAGGCAAATGGTCAGCAACAGTCAACCAGGTCCATTTGGCACAGTCAGTAATGGGTATGGAGATGAGAAAATATAAATATATTCCATTTGTAGTCGATGCTTTTACAATAAATCATTATTTTGGACTTTAAGCTAAGCAGTAATCTCAGGACCAAACACATGATGAAACCACTCCATTAAAAACATTAGAAGAGGCCAMACTACACAAGACAATCATTCAATCTAAATCACTAAAGGGATGTTTTTTTTTGCCCATTTCCATTTCATACAAAGACCCACAAATAAAAACTAAAGCACAAAGTGTCAATAACAGCATTATGAATACAGTTGTCAGCAACAGAGTCCATGTAAATTCATGACAAATGTGTTCTGTTGTGATAAAGCTGTTCTAATCTCTTATCATTTATGCTACATCAGGTTACTAATGTTCTCCTGGAAGTTTTGTACAATACTGAGCCATTAATGTACCTTACAGCATTCCAGCATGACTCCTGCTATCCTTGGTTGCCTTTGTACATTCTAGTTAATACGAAAAAAAAATTGTATAGCATTTTTCTATTTCTAAATGGTCTGCATATGTTTGAGGTGGTGTAAGTGGGTTAGATTTTGACTATTTTTCTCTTATAGATCGAGATAATCTTCTCTTTAAAAAAATACGGGAATTTATAATCACCTGCATATAGCTTCCAAGATAAAAACAGGTGTCATCTGCAAAGAAGCTGAGCTAAAGGTTACAAACACAAGGCAGGGGAGGAGAAAACAAACTGGAATACACAGTATCTGATACGCAGCGATTGCCTGGTTATTTGTSAAGCAATGTTCTGTCAAAGAGCCATAAAAAAATAGTACCTTATCAGCAATAACTTCAGTCAGAGCACAGAGAAAACAGTTGGAGCGTCTGGAGTAGGTAGAATTAGAGGAAGAGCTGTTTTAGAATATTAAAAATAAGTCAATAGCCTAGCCTAGCAAAGACTTCTGCTCTTTTACTCCATACTTTGTGGCATATGACTGATGTCGAAGCTGATCATGTACCACTCAATGACTATGATAGAACCAGTTAATAAAAAAGCAAGAAAAATAGACCAGACTCTCCCTTTAAGCTTCAAACGACCTGAAGTGGGAGAAACAAACAGTGAAGTGATCGTTCCTGAAATCTTTAAAAATTACACACTGTACAAAAACAATTCATATCAATAGGCACTTCTTAAATAAGGTCTTTCCTTCAGTTTATTTGAGTTAATTTGTTTTTTTTTTTCCTCTCCCCCCATTCAAGATGGCACAGCAGGGCAAAGACTCGGACAAACAAGCTAAAGCTAAACAGCCCTGGGAATTCCAGCTGGGAGGTCTGTCCTGTGTGGGGAGCTGAAAACGCACATCAGGGTTGAGGAGCTGAGGAGTCCGCTGGCTGGACACGGCCATGAAGACCCCAGGAGAGGTGGATCTTTGAGAAAGGTGTGTGTGTGTGTGTGAGAAAGATAGAGAGAGAAAGAGGGAGACAGAGGGAAATGACTCGGGGGAATATATTCTTTGTTTTTCTTATGAGGACTTCTCTTTTCTTGATCTTGGTGAATCAGCACCATGAGAGTTCACTCCATTTACTCCATTGGCTAGAAACACACAGCACAACCAAGTTTCAATAAAGACCACCGCAGAAAGGTTTCAGTAAATGTTGGTCTTTCTGCACAGATGTTCACGTTTCYGTTTAAACATCAATGCTCTCGCCCGCTCACCTTTGTCTTTCTTTGATTTGCTCTTGGTAGGAGCTTGTTTCTTTTTCAAGCTCTGAGCCTCGGCGTGCTCCCTCCACCGGCGCAGCTGAAAGTTGATAAACTTCCACATCATGAAGGCCTGCGTGAARCAAATGGCTGCCAGGACGGTCATCCTAACAGACGAGAGGCAACAAATATGTGCATGATGAGAAGATGGAAATTGTCGAATGTAAGAGTCATCAAATGTTCTATGAGGAGATTCATCAAGCTTCATGTAGACACCAACGGCTCTGCTGTCTGCAGATTGATCTCATAAACAGGGTTCGACAAATACCCTGACTGCCCGGGGCAGATAAACCATTTATTTATTTATTTTTTAATTTGGCCATTTCATTGAAAAATTCTGCAAATAAATGAAGAAAGCGTTTTAAAACAGGCAAACAGAGAATAAACCCTCATATATTCCCCCTCCCACTGTAGAAAAGTTACGTCACGCATAACTGAAATGTGTGGCGGGGATCATAATTCTCCCTCCTGCTGCATGTCGTGCACAGTGAAGCACTAAAAACTGTCGTTTTTTTTTTTCACAAGTTGTCGGAGAAAGAAAAAATAATTTATTGTTACCCGCAGAGATGAAAAAAGATGTGAACGTTCCTTCAATAAGTCCATTTTACTAACGTAACAGTGTGCTTCTGCTCTGAGCGCAGCAGAGGTTCATTTCAGCAACAGTTGGAAGCTCACTGTATGGCAGGCTGTTATTACATTTATTTGGCTTCAACACTTACATTTCAGATATCTGAAATTATGTTATGAATAGACATGTATATTGTTTTTTTTTTTTTAAATAAGGGGCAGATATAAGAGTTTTTTCTTCACTCTGCACCGTTTTCATTCAGGGTATGATTTACTTTGGTTTTAATGCTGTGCATAGATTTTGTTTTTATGAATGAAATAAAAGAATAAATAAATAAAAGATATCTTTAAATTTATGTTGATAAGGCAAAATACCTATTTGAGATATCGCTAATGACATTCTGACTAGTTTAAATGACGTCAGATTTACTATTAAGTTGCAAGGAGACTCCAGTTCAAGATACCTTAAATGTATCTTTAGATATGAGATAGGCTATATAAGATTCAATTGATGYAAATTGCACTTTCGTGTTCTGTAATTTGTATTTTAAAAAAAATCTGCACATTTTTAATAAATACTAGTGTTTTTTCTGCTGTTCATCACCGTTCTGTTTTCATAAGCAGCTCTTCCAAGGCCAATACTAAAAGTTAATTGATGATGTTTTTGATAATAGACTGACTTAGTGACTGACTCAGTCTGCAATGTTTGCATCTGATGTCCTGTTAATATTTTGTAGTAGTAGTAGTAGTAGTAATAATAATAACACAAACAAATATAGCACTTTTTAGGATACTCAAAGATGCTTTCCAAGAGGGGATAAAAAAGTACAAAGTACAGTACATGTTTTTTTTTTTTAAATCAAATTTTGAACATTTTTGTTTCAGGCAGGTAACATTTGTCCTCAACCCTGCTCATATAGAGCCAAAGTTAAAGTGGTTACACTTGGACTAAAAGGTTTTGGACGCTTACCGAACAAAGAAAATGTTGAAGTTCCCTGCAGCCAAATCGAAGCCTTGCTTCTCAGCTGTGGAGAGGCCAAAGCCCACGGTAAGGACCGACAGGGACAGAGTGAGCAGCCGTCCAACAACGAACAAGACGGCCCAGATGGTGAAGCTATGAGACCAAAAACAGGAGCATTCAAGACTTTCGAAACCCAATATTGGACTTGGTAAATGTTATAGACCCACCCCATTTGATTGCTCTCGTTGCTGAAGTAGATCAGGCGTGAAACGTGGAACAGGAACTCAACGAAATAGTGCGAGACCATCAAGACCAGGCCCAGACGGTTCAGACTGGAACACACAAAGGCTGGCATCTTTAAAACCACCGTAAAAGGCCACAGCCTACATACAACCGCCTCATAATTACGCTCTTAATTGCAGCTTTCCGTAGGTGACAGCACTTACTTCAGAATGTAGGCGCCAGCGATGTGAACCAGGTACAGGAAGATGTACACAAGCTGGCGTGGAATATCCTCCTAAAAGGGTAAACACAAAACGACGGGAGGCTGAGTGGTCAAAATATTTACAACAGTGTGGTTTTGCATGGTCATTTCAGCAAGAAGCGTATGATTCTTCGAAACAATAACCCATGGCCACAAGGAAGTCAAACAGGAAGAGGCCAAACACAAGTTACACCACGTCATCCTAGCACAAAAACTGTGCTTCCACCACAACCTCAAACACACACTTACTTTCTTCGACTTTTGGAAATAAAGTTCTGGGAGAGCATGTAACCAGTAACCCAGTTGACAAATGTAGAAAAATTTCATTTGGAACCTGAAAAAGAGAACATTTGTAGTTTTTTAGCGCTCTTAAAAGAACTCAAGTGGCAGGTAYTTGTTTCAGTTTATCTATAAATAACCAACATGATTCTACAGACAACAGTGCAACTTACGGCATCAGAGTGTGAGGGTAACCCTCCCACAGAGAGACGGGATTGGACAGGAAGTTTTCCTAAGAACAAAGAGGCTTTTTAGTTCAGTGTAACCAAAAGCAAGCAAGAAAAAAACAAAAAACACAATACAAGCTAAAAGGCTGCACGTACAGAAAGCAGGATGCTTGTGCCCCAGCCGAAGGAGAACAAGTAGAAGGCGCTGAGCTGGCCCGACTCATTAAACTTGCTGTGTTTGGTTTTAGAGAAGTGCTTCTTCCTGTTGATTTTCTGCAGGAAAATTAAGGAACAAAAATAACATTTTAAATATTTTTCATTTATCATCCCTCCGGTCATGCAGCCTTAGCTGTCTTTTTAAAACCTTAAAAATAATTTGTGCGTTGTTTTTCAAGGTAATCCTGAGCAAAATGTCAGATTCAGAAGGTGTGTTGCGAATGACTCTCAGATACAACCTCATCAAATTTTAGTTTAATATCTGTAAAAAACTGACTAAGTTATAATAGYCATTTTTTGTGACGACTAAAGCCATTTTTGGCATCCTGAATTTGACTTTTAAAGTTAATCAGTGATAGATTCATTTAAATACTTATAGCAACTTTAAAGTGCCTGTGACATGAATTTTTTTAAAATAACTATAACGGCATTGTTGGAAAAATAACATCAATAACATATTGCAAAAAGAATTTCCTGCTGCTGAGATGAACAGTTGTTGAGATATTTGCATGTGAAGGAACAGGAAGTGATGTCAAAGGGGAATGCCTGGATGGAACAAAGCAGTGATCAAATAGCTAACGACACAGACTGTAGAGAACAATCTGTTTTTTTAGATTATTTTCAGTCTCTATCCGAGAGAGATGAAGACGAGTCAGAGTTCAAATAATATTGTTTCAATAAACAAAGATTACAGAGTTCCGTTTCTTAAAGAGTTCCCCTTTGATGTCACTTCCTGTTGCACTTTGGCTGAGCCTAGTTCAAAAGAAAATMTGCCATTTATGTGACAAAATGGGTAAAATCATGTTTTATGCAAGTTTTCTTATATAAAAATGTGTTTTCTTTGACTTTTTGTATTTGATGGATGTCACAGGCACTTTGATAAAAACGTGTCCAGTAGTTCAAAATATCCTTGTCTGCCTTTGCCTTCCAGTGACGGGTGATATGTTTTTATTTTATTTTTAAATATCTGCTGATGAATGTGTCTCACTTACATCCAACACATACTCTTGGATGATGGCGTGCATGATGATGGCCACCAGCATGTAAAAGAAAATGGTTGCCAAGTCTTTGATGCCGTGGTGGAAGTGGTTCACCGCCGTCTCCTCTGGGCCTTCTGTGGCACAGACACATCATCAGGACCGACTCAAAAACACACACACACACCTGCTTCATGAGACATTTCAYTCACTTCAGGCAAAAACATTCCCAAGTATAATCATCCTAAATCCTGAAAGGGTGGAGTTTGGATTAGTGAGTCTCGACTCTCGACYGAGCTGAATTACAACATGAATTAATGACAAAAACGTATTTGCACGTCTATTTTAAAAAAGAAAGAACACCAGAAATAAATCCACCTCTTTGCAAAGGTCAGCAAYGACCAAAAAATCCCCATCTCTATGTAAAGATTTGTCTAATAATAAAGAGAAAAGTTGCAAATAAGTTACAGAAACAAGTCAGCAGAAAAGTTTCACACATAAAAGCAACCAGCTGGCAACCTGCACACCTAAAGTTTTGAAACACATTTTGAATAAATCCCGAGGTCGTGTGTTCTTTCAACAAAAGTGTCTGAAACTGGCAAAGAAACGGCTAACCTTGAAAGAAGCAGGACTTTGAATTGTGAGGCCTACATTGCGCCTCAGCCTAAATTCATCCTGTGCAACCTTGCCACTAGAGAACTTTATAAATCAGGCAGACTAAATTTAGCTCCAATGAGGGGGGGGAAAAGAAAAGAAAAAAAAGAACTCTTAAATGGGTTTGTCTAAGGCTAAGTAAGTAGAGCTCTGGAATCTGAATGAGAAGCTTCCAGCAGGAAAACAATATTTTACAAAGTAAACCCAAACATTTAACACACACAGCCACCTTCCGGTATTTTCCTTACCATTATTTGAGATGGTCACATTGTACTGGACAGTAATGAATATTACTGCAAACTTTGAGGTGACCTGTGGATTAAAACACATGTATATGAGCAACAAGAGAATTCTCACATGAACAAGTATTTATGTGTTAATGTTGCAATAAATCTGAGTATGAATGAGACACTTAATAAATACCAATGACACAAGTTATAATTATGAGATATTAAATGACTTAAAATCTAAGTCATATTTATAACACTTCATAACATGTCTTATGTATGAAAGGCTCCCATTATATAGACGCTTAGTGAAATAATGAGCTGCAAGCCATTCTAATGAAAGACCAAGTCACAAAAATGAGGCTCTAATTCATAATATGGAGACTAAGCCATATTAATGAGACACTAAGTCATATCAACGAGAAGCCGTCATAAAAAAGGGACACTAATTCCTAATTATGAGACAATAAGCTATATTAATAGGAAGTTAAGCCATATTGATGAGAACCTAAGTCATAATGAGATTAAAGTTTATGATATGACTTAGTCTCATCGAAAGCGTTTAGATTCTAAACCCTTTAGATGAGACTAAGTCATATCAATAAGAAGAACCTAAGTCCTAATAAAGGTATGCCAATTCGGAATGAGATTAATTCACAATAATGAGACACTAAGCCATATAAGCTAAGTCATATCAATAAGAGGCTAAGTAACAATAAAGGGACGCTAACTCGTAATAAGACTAATTCATAATAATGAGACAACGCCATGTTAATGAGATATTAAGTCATATTATTGAGTTGCTAAGCCATAGTTATAAGATGATGTCATATTAATGAAACGCCAAGTTATAATGAGTTGTTAAGCAATATTTTTAAGTAAAGTAAAATTACTGAGACACAGTGATAACAATAAGACAATAAAAAAGCCATATTTATGAAACTCTGGCTAATATTAATAAAGACAAGTAGTATTAATGAGATAAGCCATAATTATTAGAYAGCTCAAGTCAAAAATAAGACACAATTGCAGGCCTCCCACCAACTCATCACAATGACGGAAATGTAGTTTAGCAGTAAGGCAATGACAACCAATTTATCCATTCATTATGTTTAGTTTGTTCCAGACTCAGGTCGCCGGTGGCCGCTGTTAAAGCGCGGTGGCCCAGGCATCTCTTTCTATGGCCACCTTTTCCAGGAAGACTTTTTTTTTGTAATGGTGGTTGGCAAACAACTTTTAGGTGCATTA